TGGCAGAACGAAAACCCAGCATCGTTCGTCCGCATGCGTGGCACCACCCGCCGCCGCAACCTGCTCGGCCAAGCACAGGCGGCCGCCACAAGCAGCGCCTCCAACCTGGCCGCCACCGCTCACAATGGCTCACCGCAGAACCAGCAACGCTGCCAGCCCTTCCAGGCCATGGACATGGACACATCCGTCGCAGAACGCGCCGTGCCAGACTACATCGGCTACCTCATCCCCCGCGGCTTCGAACCCGTCCTGCCACCAAAGTTTGCTCGCCTCATTGAGGAGCGTCTCAAACAAGATGATGATGATTCAAGTGATGACGACTCCAGCGACAACGAGAACGACAACGACGACGACGATGAAGCCGCTGCGAATGGCGCCGCTGACGGCAATGTCCAAAACGACGGGGAAGACAATGTCGATGATGACAACACCCAAGGCAGTGATGACGATGACGATGGCGACCTCCCATGCGTCACTTCACGCCGAGCCATCATGGTCAACGACATCCTTCTCCAACAGCAGCAACAGCAGTCACGCCTGCAACGCCGTACGCATGGCTCGTCCCCACCCCGTCGATCACCTTCGCCCACCATCCCGCCCATCGTCCCTGGCCACAACCTCTCTCTGTGCGATGGCTCCTTCCAGCACCTGAGCGACCTCCCCAACGACGTGGCACGCGGCATGTTTGTGGAGAAGCTGCTGGAGCGCCACGCGGCCGTCCCCATCTGGGTCAAGGACCCAAGCGCAGAGCAAGCCAGCGACACGTACAAGCACCACGTCAGCGCGCTGCAGTTTGCCAACCTCGAGACCAAGACCACCCCACCCGCCGTCAACACCTACACGGACACGGAGTGCCTGCGCGTCGTGGTCATGTCCAAGTACCGCGCAGCCACCACGTCCACCCCGCAGCTGCTCAAGGACCTCTTCCACATCGACTCCCTGCACGAAAAGGACAAGAGCACAGACTTCACCCTGACGCAGCACGCCTCGCTGTTGGAGGTTGGCGTTGGCTACATCAAGCAGAAGCAGGGGACCAAGGAGCTTGGCGAACGGCCCACCACGCACCCGTGCATTGTGCTGCACGTGATTGGCGACTACGAGGAGCTGTGGCCGGGCTTCTTGCGCGACTTTGCCGACATTGTCATCCTGGAACACCCGGGCAGCCCAGGCGACGCCAAGTGTGAGCCCATCTTCAACGCAGACCTGGACAAGCGGCGCTGCTATGCCTGGCATCCAAAGGTCGACGCGCGTGATGCGCCCAAGAGCAAGAAGGACGACAACCACCACGTCGTGTGTGGCCAACTCCGCGATCCCAAGACAAACGAGAAGATGGTGAAGCGACTGGTGAAGGCAACAGCCAAACTTCAGGAGGAGCTTGAGCAACAAGACCTCGCCGATGACTGCATGAGCGCGTCAACCACCAGCACCAACAGCAGCAACACCAGCGATGCCACAGTCTCTCCATCGCCACCAGGCAGCGACATGCGGCCGAACCTGTACGACCTCTGCTGCAAGCACGTCCACCTCTTCCCCGACGTGGCGGAACTGGCGCCACTGCCCAAGATTGAGCACGACTTCTCTGTCAAGCGAGGCCGCACGTTCGTGCTGCAAGAGAGCTTCAAGCGTCAGCGCTCAACCTTCGACCACAAGCACAGCAAGAACGTGCCCATCGTCAAGAAGGGGAAGGGGAGCGTGTCGGACATGGATGATCAGATTCAATGCGAGGTCCTTCACCGCGCCGAGCACATTGAGCAACAGTGCGAACTGCCCCTCGTGCAGCAGGTGCTCGAGATTGCACAGCTGCCGCGCTCCGAGGACCGCGTCGTGGGCTTCTACATGCTGCAGCGCGCCCTGGCCTTGAAGAGCTCCCAGCAGCTCAAGCACCTGGAGGAGGAGGTCGACCGCCTCAAGACAGCCTCCAACAAGAACCCCGAGGACACGGAGCTGCGCAAGCAGTACCTGGACGCCAACGCCAGCATCAATGACTACAACGTCACCCTCGACCACGTGTGGCGCGAAATCGGCCACATCTACACCAGCGGCTGGTGCGAGCTTGGCCTGGCCAAGCTGGCCGCACAGCACATCCTGGACGGCTACCCACTGGAGCTGTTTGATGGCGATGCGCTGGGCGCCAACGAGGTCTGGGTTGGTGCTGTGCTTGGTCAGCTCGATGAGATGCTCAAAGCGCAATACCAGCAGCAGCAGCAGCAGCAGCAGCAGCCAGGTGGCTACACTCATGATGTGAAGCCGCGAGTGATGGTGCACAGCATGTTTGGTCCACAGAGCAGCGGCAAGTCCACCACCGCCAACCACATGTACGGCACGCGGCTCAAGGCTAGCGTTGGGCGCTGCACCATTGGCGTGAACATGCAGCTCATCCCCTGCAAGGGGCGAGACAAGTACGACTACGTGCTGCTGCTGGACACGGAGGGCGTGCGCGCCCCCGAGTTCACGCACATGGAGGTGAGCAACCGCCGTGACGGCGTGTTTGCGCTCATGG